GGGGTAAGGTAGGTTACAGGGAATTTATTAGGTATAGCTTCGTTTTTAACTTAAACTGGTTGAGAGAGGTACAGTCTTTAACATGGTTGGGAAGGTCATTCCACATTCTGGGCCCCTTGATTTGTAGAGCATTTCTGGTTTGAATAAGTCGTACTCTAGGAATATCAAAACTATTTATTTCTGGTGTGGTGCTCATGGGTTCTGTTACAACCTTCTATGAAGCTTTTGAGATCAGGATTGGCATTATAGTTTAGCGTTTTATATATGTATAATACACATGAGAGAATGTGCAGTGACTTAATGTCTAACATATTCAGAGATTTGAGTAGGGGTACCGAGTGATGTCTGGGGCCAGAATTGGATATTGTCCTAATAGCAGCTTTGTGTTGAGTAATTAGAGGACGTAAGTGATTTTGGGTAGTAGAGCCCCAAGCACAAATACCTTAGTTGAGATATGGATAGATAAGGGAGTAATAGAGAGTCACCAGGGCAGGGCGTGGTACATAATATCTGATCTTAGAAAGAATGCCCACAGTTTTTGAAACTTTTTTTGATATGTTTAGAATGTGTCCCTGGAAATTCAGCTTGTGGTCAATGAGAATGCCAAGGAATTTGCCATCTAATTTGTTACAAATTTGGGTATTGTTTATTCTGAGATTTATTTGATTAGAGGATTTATTGCCAAACAGAATATAGAAAGTTTTGTCAATGTTAAGGGTGAGTTTGTTGGCAGTTAGCCACAGATGGACTTTATTTAGCTCAGTATTTACTGTGGCATTTAGAGCAAGGGGATCAGGACTGGAGTAAGTAGAATCACTGATAGCACTGCCACGACTCTAGATCACATGTGGACAAACATAACCTCTCCGCTTACTTCAGGTATAATCACCGATAGCACTACAGACCATTACCCCACATTTCTCTTAACTAACATTAGCAAACCACCTCTTGAGTCAAGAGAGATACGTTTTAGACTGCACAATGAAACTGCTATAGACAATTTTATAACTGCTGCTGATAATGTCAACAGGGAGTCCGAGTTAGGTAACATAGAGGACATCAACCTAGCAGTACAATCTTTTCTTCAAAAAACTCTTAGCCTTTATAATACCCACTGTCCTATGCTTTCAAAGCAAGTCACAACCAAAAGGCTCAACAATCCCTGGCTTACAAAGGGAATACTTAAATCTATTAATTAAAATATGACCTTGAGAAGAAGTATAGGTTAGGAATTGTCTCCAAAGAATTCTCAAAGAATTACTTATTATTGCTATCTAAGATAATTAGACGAGCCAAAACTAAATACTACGAAGATAAATTTACCCAAATAAAGAGCAACATTAAACAAACTTGGAGCACAATTTCACAAATATTGGGATCAAAGAAGTCTTTAAATAACAAACCAACTCTCCTGTCTAATAACGATGGTCAGCTTTCAGCCTCTGATTCTGCTATTGAGTTCAATAGGTTCTTCTCTTCCATTGGTTCATCCCTTGCAAATGATATTCCATCTTCCAGTACTGACATTAAGGACTATCTTACAGGTAACTATCCACACTCTCTGTACCTAAAGCCTATTAATTCCGCTGATGTCAATGAGATAATCCTTTCCCTTAAAACCAAGTCTGGTGCCCTTGAGGAGATACCAACTTTAATTTACAAAAAAGCCTCCAGATCTTTAGCCCCTGCTATTGCATTGTTCTTCAATAAGTCACTTGAACTCCAAAAATTCCAGATATTCTAAAAAAAGCGAGAGTAACCCCTGTCCACAAATGTGGTGATCTCACAGATGTTAACAACTACAGACCTATATCAATCCTGCCTAACTTGTCAAAAATATTTGAAAAACTGATCTACAAGCAGCTTTACTCTTATCTAGCCAAACACAAAATACTTAGCTCTTGTCAGTATGGTTTCAGACCCCAAAAAAGCACTAACGATGCACTTATTAGTATGATTAACTTGATTCATGCAGCTCTTGATAAAAATGAGTTCCCTGTTGGGTTATTTGTGGACCTGCGTAAGGCTTTTGACACTGTCAACCACCAAAACCTTCTTCTTAAATTACATCATTATGGAGTCAGAGGACACTCCCTGCAATGCCTCAAATCTTACCTTACTGACAGGCTCCAGTATGTTTCTGTGAATAATTCAATTTCTCCCACCCTACCCACCAACATCGGTGTTCCTCAGGGCAGCATACTTGGCCCTCTCCTCTTTCTCATCTACATTAATGACCTTCCAAATGCCTCCCAACACCTCTAACTAATTCTATTTGCTGACGACACAACCTTCATTTACTCCAGTCCTGACCCCCTTGCTCTAAATGCCACAGTAAATACTGAGCTAAATAAAGTCCATCTTTGGCTAACTGCCAACAAACTCACCCTTAACATTGACAAAACTTTCTATATTCTGTTTGGCAATAAATCCTCTAATCAAATAAATCTCAGAATAAACAATACCCAAATTTGTAACAAAATAGATGGCAAATTCCTTGGCGTTCTCATGACCACAAGCTGAATTTTCAGGAACACATTCTAAATATATCAAAAAAGTTTCAAAAACTGTTGGCATTCTTTCTAAGATTAGATATTATGTACCCCGCCCTGCCCTGGTGACACTAGTACTCCCTCATCTATCCATATCTCAACTATGGTATTTGTGTTTGGGGTTCTACTACCCAAAATCATTTACGTCCTCTAATTACTCAACACAAAGCTGCTATTAGGACAATATCCAACTCTGGCTTCAGACATCACTCGGTACCCCTACTCGAATCTCTGAATATATTAAATATTAAGTCACTGCACATTCTCTCATGTGTATTATACATATATAAAATGCTGAACTGTAATGCCAATCCTGACCTCAAAAGCTTCATTGAAGGTTGTAACAGAACCCATGAGCACCACACCAGAAACAAATACAGTTTTGATATTCCAAGAGTACGACTTAAACTAGAAATGCTCTACAAATCAAGGGACCTAGAATGTGGAATGCGCCTCCCAATCACGTTAAAGCCTGTACCTCTCTCAACCAGTTTAAGATAAAAACGAAGCACTACCTAATAAATTCCCTGCAACCTACCTTACCCCTCTATTGTCAACCCAAGTCTGTTTTTTTAAACAACGCTGTTTGTCGACCTAATTGTATTTGTGCTGCTTTTTCAGCCATGTTCTACCCTTTTTTATTTTTATCTTCATTTGTTCTCAACACATTTTATTCTTTATACTCAATTAGTATTAAGTTTTAGTCATTAATGTTTTTCCTGCCCGAAACGCATTGCGTAATAGTGGCTTTAGTCATTGTATGTACCAGCTCAATCTATAAATTTATAAATTTTTGTAAAATCTCTTGTATGTATGCACCTTACGTGAATAAACATTTATTTATTTATTATTTATACTTGCGCCTCCTGCCTGCCTCACTTCCCCTCTCCAGACTTGCCTCCTACCTGCCTGCCTCACTTCCCCTCTCCAGACTTGCCTCCTACCTGCCTCACTCCCCCTTCTCCAGAATTGCCTCCTGGCTGCTACCTCCCCTTTCTCCAGACTTGCCCCCTGCCAGCCTCACTCCCCCTTCTCCAGACTTTCCTCATGCCTGCCTCAATTCCCTTCTCCAGATTTGCCTCCTGCCTACCTCACTACCCCTTCTCCAGACTTGCCTCCTGCCTGCCTGCCTTACTCCCCTTCTCCTGACTTGGCTCACTTCCCTCTCCACTTGCCTCATGCCTGCCTCACTTCCCTTCTCCAGACTTGCCTCCTGCCTGCCTCACTTCCCCTCTCCAGACTTGCCTCCTGCCTGCCTGCCTCACTTCCCCTCTCCAGACTTGCCTCCTGCCTGCCTCACTCCCCCTTCTCCCGAAATGCCTCCTGCCTGCCTCACTCCCCTTTCTCCAGACTTGCCCTCATGCCTGCCTCACTTCCCCTCTCCAGACTTGCCTTCTGCCTGCCTGCCTCACTCCCCCTTCTCCCAAAATGCCTCCTGCCTGCCTCACTCCATTTTCTGCAGACTTGCCTCCTGCCTGCCTCACTTCCCCTCTCCAGACCTGCCTCACTTCCCCTCTCCAGACTTGCCTCCTGCCTGCCTCACTCCCCCTTCTCCAGAATTGCCTCCTGCCTGCCTCACTCCCCTTTCTCTAGACTTGCCTCCTGCCTGCCTCACTTCCCCTCTCCAGACTTGCCTCCTGCCTGCCTCACTCCTCCTCCTCCAGAATTGCCTCCTGCCTGCCTCACTTCCTTTCTCCGGACTTGCCTCCTGCCTGCCTCACTTCCCCTCTCCAGACTTGCCTCCTGCCTGCCTCACTCCCCTTCACCAGACTTGCCCTCATGCCTGCCTCATTCCCCCTTCTCCAGATTTGCCTCATGCTTGCCTCACTTCTCTTCTCCAGACTTGCCTTCTGCCTGCCTGCCTCATTCCCCCTTCTCCAGACTTGCCTTCTGCCTGCCTCACCCCCCCTTCTCCAGACTTGCCTTCTGCCTGCCTCACTCCCCTTCTCCAGACTTGCCTTCTGCCTGCCTCACCCCCCCTTCTCCAGACTTGCCTTCTGCCTGCCTCACTCCCCTTCTCCAGACTTGCCTACTGCCTGCCTCGCTTCCCTTCTCCAGACTTGCCGCCTGCCTGCCTCACTCCCCCTTCTCCAGACTTGCCTCCTGCCTCCCTCACTCCCCTTCTCCAGATTTGCCTCCTGCCTCCCTCACTCCCCTTCTTCAGACTTGCCACTTGCCTGCCTCACTCCCCCTTCTCCAGACTTTCCTCATGCCTGCCTCACTTCCCTTCTCCAGACTTGCCACTTGCCTGCCTCACTTCCCTCTCCAGACTTCTCTCATGTCTGCCTCACTCTCATCACCAGGCTACCCTCCTGCCTGCCTCACTATCATCACCAGACTTACCTTCTGCCTGCCTCACTTCCCTCCTGCCTGCCTCACTTCCCTCATGCCTGCCTAACCATCACCAGACTTACCTTCTGCCTACCTCACTCTCGTCACCAGACTTACCTTCTGCCCTCCTCATTTAAAGCGAGCCTGTAGACTGCTGAACAAGCAGAGTAGAGCACAGTGTAGGCCACCAGCTCCAACCACACCAGTTTGTACACACTTCCACGCCATCTGTGAAAGTTATAATATTGACATACCACATTTCATCATATACAGAACTAGTTATTACACTGATATACCATATTACCCTGGTATAAAATGTATAGCATAGATACGGCTTTTGCACCACCTCCAATCCCCACTATGTATGGTTCTAAAGATGGCTCCAGGGGAATATATTTATGCAGGGACTAGTGTATTTAATGTGACCTATAAAAATGAATGAAGCCATCACATTTAAAACAAGCTTGATCTGAACAATTCCATTTCAGAAGAAGCTAGGGAACACCCCCAAAATAATAATTACTACACATTATCTTTCAGGAGGTTTGAATTTGCCCAGATGCCTTTTAGATTCTACAAAACAACATGACCTTCCAAACTTTCATTGAGCAGGCCATCTGGTTTTATCCTTCTGGTTTCCCTAATTTAACATCTCTTTTTAATAAACCACTCTGTGGCAATTCATCTTCAAGACCTCTGACCCTTCTTCCACAGCTTGGCAGCAGTATCCACCATATTGAAAGCCAAGCCTATCAAGCTACATAAATTTTTTTGGTGGTAAATTTTGGCCAAATATTCATCCCACACTTCTATATCCCTTGAGACTTGTGTACCATCCTGCATGGGCAGGATAGGTATCCAAGATACCCTTGATGTGGTCATTTGAGTCAGGTAGTAATCAAAAACCTTAAGCAAGAGTTCACTAAGCTCTCTCCCCTTGCCCATCTATCCTCCCCAATGCTCTGAAAACCTGCTTTGAAAACAGTCCTAAATCAGTCCATGATACATGGAAACCTATCATGTTCTGCTTGACAAACTTGACACCAGTGGAGACCAATTGCATATATTGTGTCTGCAATATCTTATACAAAAATGACAGGGATGGGGAGGAGCTTAACCCTTCAATTGCGCATCGCATCATATGATGCTTTGACCGACTTGCAGTAAATTGCGCATCGCATCATGTGATGCTTTGGAGTACTACGCAAGATTTAAACGGCACGTGGATACACGGGGTTCACCACACCTTCATCAGGGCTCTTGTAAACAGACGCCATTTTTTAAAAAAATCGTGGGCCAAACTCCCGGGTGTTAGGGGCCTCAGTATTGAGTCAGCTACCAAGCCTGACGCACGGAGCATGAACTCACAGCACTGCTGTACAGCTTGTGACCACAGCATCGCCTAAAACTGCCATAATATACTTGTTCATGCTATTATGTAGCGATGATATTATTACAGAAGACCCCTGACTGTGATAAAACTGACCAGGGTTCTGATAATAGCAGGATTGAGGTGATATTTGGCGCTGTGCGCCATGGAGGGAGGAGTAATGCTGTGGGAGGGAGGATGGTGGCGTTATCTTTCGAGTGTGTGTGGCCACGTTTTATTGACTGCACTCAGCATACCAGCATAGTGGTTCGCTATGGTGAACACAAATGTAGATACTTAAATATAACGTGTGTATAGTGTGAGATAACAGCGAGAGTAGGAGGTTGGGAGCCGCCATTTTGGTGAGGGAGGAGCGTCGTCTGCAGGACTTACCATGTTGTTTACTGATGACCACGATGGTCTTTGGGCACCATACCAGTTTACTTGTACAAGTATGGTGAATAAAACTGGTAGATATTTATATATAATGTGGGTATATAGCGTAATAACACCACAAACAGTATTGTTGTAGGAGAAATATTAGTGCGTCTGGCCTTGAGGGCGGCCGCCACCAGCTGACTGTGTGAGTAGCTATGTCTTTGTGCCTTTACTCACCATACAAGCTTAGATGTACAGTTATGGTGAACAAAACATGTAAATACTTATATATAACGTCTGTATATAAAGGCAAAAACAGTATGGTGGGTGGGGAATGGTGGCAAGTCAGGTGAGGTGAGGTGAGGTGAGGTGAGGGAGGGAGTGGCAGCCAGTGGCAGCCAGTCACTGCCTGCCACTGCCACTCAGCATACCAACTTAGTGGTTCGTCATGGTGAACAAAACATGCAGATACTTATATATAACCTGTGTATATAGTGTAATAACCGACAAAGTATTTGTTCACTGTTTGATGAACATAATTGAATCAACAATATGCACACCATATTATACAGGGCACACCACCATATACAGGGCCTTGTAGCCTGGTGGATAGCGCGCAGGACTCGTAATTCTGTGGCGCGGGTTCGATTCCCGCACGAGGCAGAAACAAATGGGCAAAGTTTCTTTCACCCTGAATGCCCCTGTTACCTAGCAGTAAATAGGTACCTGGGGGTTAGTCAGCTGTCACGGGCTGCTTCCTGGGGGTGGAGGTCTGGTCTAGGACCGGGCCGCGGGGACACTAAAGCCCCGAAATCAACTCAAGATAACCTCAAGATAACCATATTTTTGAGTACAGCGATGATTCACTCATTTTATTATATAAATATATCACACTACACACTATTGAATAATATTACAGCAAAAAAACTACGAAAAATCAATCAGAGACATTGAAATAATTAGGCAATTATCTCTCTGTGGAAACTCCAGCCTGACAGCTGGCGATCAAGAGACCGCTTGGGACGCACGCTCAGTCAGCGCCTGATTTTTGCCAGAATTCCCCGCCCTATAGTGGGCAATATATGCCACTTACGATTTTTTTATTATTTTTCCCGTGATCAGTGAACACAAATTAACAGGTTAGGAAGAAAAAATAATTTTTTTTTTTTTTTTTGGTATGCGCCTGTGGGTGTCAAATGGTATATAGCTATGCGCCATTTAAGGGTTAAGGTGGGTCCCTGGGTGGCCATTTGTCCTAGTCTCTGGTTCTCTCTACATGTTTTTAGCTCTGAGAAATTGAAATGTTTCCCTGCTTGGATACTATGTTCCTATTATGTTCCTAACTCTGTTCTCCTCTCATTAACAGCCAGGTCTCAGCCAGGCCCGAACCTGGGAGGGAACCAGATGGGACTTCTGCCAGTTCACCAGGGACCCGAACCCAGCTAGCTGGGAAAGCACCATACACCTAGCGAGCAGACACACGGACAAACTGGGAGCCCAAACCAGCCAGTCGTCAAGGTAAGCCAACACCCAAACCCCTGAAAGACGCAGACGGGCCACCACGTCCCAGGTATGACGTGTGAACATGCGAGGTGCCAGGTTCAACCCGAATGAAAGACAATGAAAACGGCAACTCTGATACCCCACAACAAAACCGAGCCAGTCCCTGAACCCAGGATGGATTGGAACATGTCAATAAGCATCCTTGAGGCCCAGGGTCACCATCCAAGCACCCGGCTCCAACAGAAGCCGGACTTGGGACAGTAGTCATCTGAAAGGAGGGGTAAGAAACCCAAGAATTCAGATGGGACAAGTCCAGAATGAACCACAGGTCTGCACAGTCCCGTTTCGGAACTGGAAATGGGCGAGAAACCCATCTGAGAGACGACGCCGATGTGACCACCCCCTAGCGCGCCCACTCCGAGATGACCTGACAGCACGTCAAGAGAACAGGCCTGCCCTGCCAGACCCAAACCCCCCGAAGGAGAAGGAGCCACCCAACGTCAACGCAGGTCGCGAGAAACGACCCGAAAAGCCCACAAATTGTGAAACCAGGTATGAGCGAACAGAGCAAGCCTCCCCCCATCCCCCCCCCCCATCAATGGGATGAGCCGCAAAAGGGCCGACGCCCCTTACGAGAACCCGACCTGCGCACAGAGCGAACACCGTGTTGATCAGACGCAAACGGCTCTGAAGGAGGCACCAGCTCTGGCTCCGAAACTGGCACCAGTGGCCTACTGGTGCCAGCGCCAGAAGAACCCACCCGGGACCCATGGACAACCAACAAGTCGAACATCGGACGGCAGCTGGACGATGCCGCCAGTATATACTGCTCGACCGCAGTGGTCGCAAACAGCAAAGGACAAAAGGGCAAACACAACTTACGAGCCAGGGGCCCAAGCGGATTCCAAAGAGGAAGCAAGCACAACCTGTCGTCACTTAAGACGTGCAGCGAAAAACCGCGACAGTTCATCCTGCAGGATCGGCACAAACAGTTTCAAAACTGCAGATGATGCACGAGCAGCTGAGAGCAAGGCACCAGACCCAGGAACGTCCCAAAGCGCCTCTACATCCTCCACAAGCCAATCCGAAAACAGCTCCAGCAGGAAAAAGAAATGCAAGACCGAAGCCAGCAAGCTACAAGCACACAAGTCCTCGGTCACAAGCGCAGCCGACAAGGGGGGAACCTGCGCATGAAGCTGTAGAGCGCCAACATCCTGGAGAATGGCAGAGCAAAAAGACACTCATTAAGGTGTTCAAAGTCACCCCCCAAGGTAAACCTGGACCACAGTCAACGCTTCATGCCACTCAAGCGTGCAGGTACAACAGAAGGTGTCCCATGCATCCAATGAAAACAACTGGCAGTCCACAAGCCAGAACTACTTCGGAACCTCATAACAGACTCAGTATGGAGACGAAGATCCAAACCTGAAAGAAGATGGTTCCAATATAGAGGCATACTCTGGGTCACGCAGGAGGTAAGCTGCAATTGCCGTCCGCACCTCCCCAGGCGAGACACGGGAGGCAGAAAACCTCTGGAAGGACGGAACCGAAGGACCTGTAGGGATACAGAACTGAACCTGGGAAGGAGCCAAATCTAAATCCAACTCGTATGCAAAGAGGGGAAAGAAAACCTCACTCATTGTAACAGTAAGCCCCGCTCCAAGGGTCGGAAAATCCAGGCAGGGTCCAATGGAGCGCAAGGCCCCCAAGTCAGCTCGTCCCCATCCCCGGGAACCCCTTGTCAGGCCCTGGGGGCGAGTTGTCCTCCAAAGCCCTGGCTTCACAAAAAAAACCAGGGTGGCCAAAATAGCAGGAACAGAGGGGGGGCCCACTGGTCAGACCCCAGAGCTACAGCAGGAGGAACAGACTCGAATGCCTCTGTCACCACCCTGAAAGGGGCAACGCCTGAAACTGTCTCAGTCTCAGAAACCTCTGAATCCTGCCCCGACCCTGAAGCCCCTCACACAATTAGGAGCCAGAAGCAGGGGGGGGGGGGGACCGAATGAACCACAGAAGGGGAAGAACGAGAGGGCGCGGCCTGAACCAAGGCCGACGCGACCAAGTCCCCAAAGTCCAGGTCCCTATAAGCAAAACGGGACAGCCTAGGGGCATTTGGGGAAGCAACCAATCTAGCATGTTGCAGCCACCTAAAACGAGCCTGCAACATTAGTCACCTGCACCCGAATAACACCATCAATAGACTGGGTGAAATCTAGTCACAAACAAGCAACAATGCTCGCAGGACTCAGGGTCGAAGGTGTCACTGACTCAACAGGAAGCATGACAGAGGCAAAAACTATGAGTGTCGCCTTGAGACAAAGGGACAGAGCAACTCTCAAACTCGCACACAGTGAGAGGGGACTCAGGGGTCCTATCCATTGAACCCAAGTGCCCCCACGGGAAACCCCGCAGGGGCACCTGCTAACCAGCGCCGAAAGCTACCATACAAACTGCTAATGCTGAACCCCCGGGGACGTGTCCACTCATGAGGGCGAAGGGGGGGGAGGGGGGTACCACCAAATAGAAAGTAAACCCTAGTATAACAGGGGAAGGGATACCAAGGCAGACACCCCACCAGACAAAAACAAAATGAAAAGAAAAGCCTCGCAAGAAGACAGCATACCCAGAAGGAACAGAGCCAGCCGCTGTTATAGGTGAAAACTAGCTGCGTAGTACCCTGCACCCCTACCAGTGGTGTAGGGGTGCAAAACTACCACTTACCCCAAGGTAAACAAGGGTGAAAACCCCCCAGAATTCTCGGGGCAGTCAATCACCGAGCAGCAAAAGACCAACAGAGGTAGACCCAAGGTGATTTGTGGAAGAGAACCCCAAGCCCCAAGGGCGGTATTTAAAGGGCGCACTCAGGGAAGGTGACCCTAAGCACATGCAGCCTGAATACCTGTGAATATTACTCCCAGCTCACCCGCCACTGTAAGAGCAGTACTGATCCAGAGAACAGCACAACACAAGAGTCTGGAACTGAAACCACACGACCATGCCATATCACACCAGCCAAAGAACTGGGGTGTGGATCACCGGTGCGGGGATCTGGAGTTCCCCCTTCCCAGGGAGGGAGGAGCTGCGCAGACGTATGGCGCACAGCTCGTGTAACATCATGCTCATTTGCTCCTCGTTTTCATTTGAGGGAGTTCTGTCCACTCGTTTGTCTATTTTCGTTATTTTTAACCAGGATAGGGGTTTGGGGTTGGGGAGCTTACTTTTCTGGGTGTCTGTCCCGGTCGATGGCAGATATAGAATGCTGCAAATCACATGTGCATTTTTATAGGTCATAGCTCCTCATGCCTCTGAGGAGGCCAGGTTCTGGCTCGTGGTCCCCGGTAGGCCTAGAACTCCACCCACATTGATGCCAAAGTTAGTGGTACTGTATATTCACATCAGCCTGGATAGCTCCGGGGAACTGTAGGGGCTCCCCCCCAGAAAATTACCAAAATAATAACATCACAATTAATACAACAAGAAACAGCACAAACAGGTATAAAATAATCCCCAACAAAATAGAGCACAAACATCAACACCAACATTAAATTTCCACTACTTTGTACAAACACCTTGAGCAACATCGATCAACATTACTATAACACATACAGCCACCAACAAGCTTACACAAACACTATCAGTAACAAAAACAACCAGAGAACACAATGCACACACACACCTGAATAAGAGTCTCCAGAAGTTGCCAAAGCCATGGCAGTCGGCTACTTCAGAGGTATAGCTCACTGTCATGGTGGATGGAGCCCCAGTGCTGGAGCTGGCAGCACCTTACAAACTGCCAGTAGCTCTCCAATTTTGGGAGAAGGCAAGAGCTGTAAGGGGTAGAAGCAGGAACCACAAGAGAGGGTTAGAAACTACCAGGAAGGGTCAGGGGGGTGCTAGTGGAGGGTCAAGGGCAGCAAATGGAAGATCAGAAGAGAATTAAAGAATAAGCATAAGTTGAGGGTCACTTTATGTTGGATCAAAAAGATGGGTTGCAGCAGGCGCAGCAGCGAGTCTTGGCGTATGATGGGGTATCACGTCGCTGTGGTAAGCTGGAGAGACTAACTGTGCTGGACACAATGATATATGACAGCTGACTGCAGGAGTGCCGAATGTGCAAGGTATATATATATATATATATTCCTGTATTAATGTGGTCAGCTGCTGGGGCCCTGAATCATGTGGTGGTAGTGGTCAACTGCTGGGACCCTGGATCATGGGGTGGTCATGGTCAGCTACTGGGGCCCTGGATCATGTGGCAGTCGTGGTCAGCTGCTAGGGCCCTGGATCATGTGGTGGTTGTGGTCAGCTGCTGGGCCTGTGGATCATGTGGTGGTTGTGGTCAGCTGCTGGGGGCCGTGGATCATGTAGTGGTCGTGGTCAGCTGCTGGGGCCATGGATCATGTGGTGGTCAGTTGCAAGGCCGTGGATCATGTGGTGGTCGTGGTTAGCTGCTGGAGCCCTGGATCATGTGGTGGTCAGCTGCTGGGGCTGTGGATCATGTGGTGGTTGTGGTCAGCTGCTGGGGCTGTGGATCATGTAGCGGTCGTGGTCAGCTGCTGGGGCTGTGGATCATGTGGTGGTTGTGGTCAGCTGCTGGGGCCGTGGATCATGTAGCGGTCGTGGTCAGCTGCTGGGGCCGTGGATCATGTGGTGGTCAGTTGCAGGGCAGTGGATCATGTGGTGGTCAGTTGCAGGGCCGTGGATCATGTGGTGGTCAGTTGCAGGGCCGTGGATCATGTGGTGGTTGTGGTTAGCTGCTGGAGCCCTGGATCATGTGGTGGTTGTGGTTAGCTGCTGGAGCCCTGGATCATGTGGTGGTCAGCTGCTGGGGCTGTGGATCATGTAGTGGTCGTGGTCAGCTGCTGGGGCTGTGGATCATGTGGTGGTCGTGGTCAGCTGCTGGGGCTGTGGATCATGTGGTGGTCGTGGTCAGCTGCTGGGGCCCATGGATGTGTTCAGGTCATGCAGGTTCATCAGTCTGTAATGAGAAACAAGCTCTTAATTAATGTTGTTCTCTAGCAAGTTTTACAGGACTCGATATATTGCATATAATGTCAAAAATTCCCAAAACATACAAATTCTAATATACCAAGTATTAAATGCTGTTGTTTCATTATTATAGTAAACACAAATTACTTTAGGTAATCATTCAAAGAAATTAGGGAGTTGTAAAGACTTAGAAAATGCAATCTTGCCACATTACCCCATTTCTATTTATAAACTAAGTTATTTATTTAGGTATAGGTATATACATTGAAAATGAGTTACAAACATAATGTCAGATTAATAGATAGAGCTAGTACATACAATGCCTAAAGCCACTTATCTATAAAACTTGTATTAAATAATCCTTAAACTACCAGTCTGGAGACCAGAATAAATAAAAAAGTGTTTTCCAATACTGAAAATAATTAAATAATCAATAAAATAAGCCCTTCCACCCGTTTGCCCATAAATGGACGAGAACTAAACCAATCTCGTAACACATTTCTTGATCCAGGATGGCGAGGAGATGCCATTAGTATAACAATAGCTGCCCTGCCTCACAAACATGTTGGCATGAGCAAAGTTGAATCCTCACGATAGTCACAGCTGCTGAGGACACTAAGAGTCTAGAAACATCAGCACGACTATAGTATACATTGGGGATTACTCCAGCACCAGTTAATATGCTTAATAATTTGGCTTTATATGTTTATTAATATTAATCATTTAAGTTACAGGGACAGCCACACGGAACAAGTAAGAGCCTACTCCATATTCAGTGTTCCAAACTCTGTACTCCTCTCATTATACTATGCACTAATCTATCCCTATTCCTATCTTAAATATGGTATCTGTGCATGGAGTTCTATCACTGCAAACTACCTCAAGCCCATCATCATCATATAACAAAAACCTGCTATCAGAATAATAACAAATTCTGCTTTTTGACAACACACATCCCCTCTGTTTATATCCCTAAACATGCTAAACATTAACTCACTCCACACATTCTCTTGTGCCATTTCATGTACAAAACCTTCCTAAGTGCAAATCCTGATCTGAAACTCTTCCTTGACAGATATAACAGAACCCATAGTCACCACACCAGAAATAAATATATCTTTGATATCCCCAGAGTCAAACTAAATCTGGTTTGGCTTTTTGGTTTTATTCAAAAGTAAAACCAAAAAGTATCTAATTTCATTCTCATAGTATCCTATCTAGCGTTTCAAACTCGCACTGTATCTTGTGCTACCCTCTCCTCCAATATGTGCCTAAGCCATACAACTTCACTACTGCAATCACTCCTATCATCTTATATCATGATTGTTGTGTTAAATGCAAATTTTGCTACAATGTATCTAGAATTAATCCTAAAATTATGCTACAATGTACCTGTTGATAATTCTCAAATTTTACAGTAATGTATCTGTAATGTACGGTTATGTTATGTTGTTGGGTAGATTAGATACACAGTGTTTAGTGAGTTTCATATTTATTTAGTAGTCCGGGATACAGCAGTGTCGTAGACGTTGAGACGGAGCTTGGAGCAGAGAAGAGAGCCGAGTGTGGCCGGAGTCGCGGAGCTCTATGTCGTAGAGTGTTGTAGCTGGATGCGGTCCTAGTCTGTTGCCTGTTCTCTGTCAAAGCTGTAGCGTCTTGGAAACTATTAGAACTGCCTACGCCAAGTGCTACATTCTTGACTGGAAATTGTACTGTTTGCTATTCTCAAATGACTTGCATATATACGGTGACTACACCTCACAATAAGATAGGAGGGTGGAAAAACTGTTACCTGTAAATAGGGATAGGACTATAGCTTGTGTAGTTAGTGCTAATTAGTTATACCATCAAGATGATGAGATAATGGAGCAAGTATAAGTTTACTCGCTACATATAGTAAGAAAATTTTAAGAAAATTAATAGATGTGTGTTAACATTCTTCAAATTTATCAACAAATTTCCTACTTAAAATTATCTGTTAGGTTAACCTTTTAGTTGCGAAAGATATCATATGATGCGTTGAGTGACTTGCAGTAAATTGCACTCGGCATCATATGATGTTTTGGAGTACCGCGCAAGATTTAAACGGCCCGCGGATACACAGGGTTCACGACACCTTCATCAGGGCTCTTGTAAACAGACGCCATTTTTTTTTTTAAATTGTGGGCCAAATTCCCGGGTGTGAGGGGCCTCAGTATTGAGTGAACAACCAAGCCGGATGCACGCAGCATGAACTCACAGCACTGCTGTTCAGCTTGTGACCACAGCATCGCCTAAAAATGCCATAATATACATGTTCTTGCTATTATTTAGCAATGATATTATTACAGAAGCCCCCTGACTGTGATAAAACTGACCAGGGTTCTGATAACAGCAGGATTGTGGTGATATTTAGCGCTGTGCTCCATGGAGGAGCACAGTATGAGTAATGCTGTGGGAGGGAGGGAGGGTGGTGGCGTCATCTTCTGACTGTGTGTGGCCACCTTTTATTGACTGCACTCTCCATACCAGCTTAGTGGTTCGCTATGTTGAACACAATTGTAGATACTTGTATATAACGTGTGTATAGAGGATATAAACAGCAATAGGAATAGGTTGAGAGCCACCATTTTGGTGAGGGAGGTGCATCGTCTGCATGACTTATCATGTTGTTTACTGGTGACCACTATGGTCTTTGGGCACCATACCAGTTTACTTGTACAAGTATGGTGAATACAACAGGTAGATACTTGTATATAATGTGTGTATATAGCGTAATAACACCACAAACAGTATTGTTGGAGAAATATTAGTGCGTCTGGCCTTGAGGGTGGCCGCCACCAGCTGACTGTGTGAATAGCTACATCTTTGTGCCTTTGCTCCCCATACAAGCTTAGATGTACAGTTATGGTGAACAAAACATGTAAATACTTATATGTAACATCTGTATATAAAATCAAAAACAGTATGGTGGGAGGAGAATGGTGGCAAGTCAGGTGAGGTGAGGGAGAGAGTGGCAGCCAGTGGCGGGCTGCCACTGGCTGCCACTGCCACTCAGCATACCAACTTAGTGGTTCGTTATGTTGAACATGAATGTAGATACTTATATATAACGTCTACATATAGTGAATAAAAGCAAAAACAGCATGGTGGGAGGAGAATGTGGGTGAGTCAGGTGACTTGAGGGAGGGAGGAAGTAGCAGCCAGTGGCTGGCTGCCACTGCCACTCAGCATCCCAACTTAGTGGTTCGTTATGGTGAACACGAATATAGATACTTATATATAACGTCTGCATATAGTGAATAAAAGCAAAAACAGTATGGTGGGAGGAGAATGTGGGCGAGTGAGGTGTTGAGGGAGTGAGTGACACGCTCGAACGCTCATCCGCTCCTGACGACCCTGCTGCCCCTCCAACTTTATCAGCTGCTCCTTGAGCCCACAACATCCCAAACATGATGTAACAACCCCAGAAGGCAGCTAAGTACCCAGTGACCTAAATGTGACCGAAATATTCGACAAAACCTAACCTAGCTCATCTTGACCTCATTAGTGTTGCTCCCTGGAGGAAGCTAACCTGTCGTTTGCTGCTGCCATATCAACGAGTCTACCCCATCTGCTGCGTACATCTCTGCTGCTACCATGCAAAACAATTCTAAGCTCGGCAAGGCCGCAAAGAATGATAGCACACCTATCAGGATGAACCCAACCAGCCAAGCTAGCAACAAGAATAATGCGGCTGTCTCCCCCTTAGTGGCTACCAGGGGGAGTACCGACCCTCCCTGCGTCAACAATAACAAACCTTCCCAGCTGATTGAAGCGTCGTCACTGACTCGAGCTTTACAACAGTTATGTAACCATATGGAGCAACTTAAACGAGCTGCCTCCCCATGTTCTGACTTTAAGCGTCTCGCTAATAATCCATGGCTCAGATTATTGACTCAAATACATGATGACCAAAAGTCTATAATCCGAGAGCAGTCGGACCTGATAATGAAGCTTCAGAGTGATGCTTTGGCCATGCACAAGATTAACCAAGATCTGTCTGCCAGAGTCGGCCACCTCGAACAGGAATTAAGCTCTCTTCAGATCTCGGTTACTAACTTTAAACCAGCAGAAACCTCTAAGAAGCAAGAAGAGATGCTACAAAAGTTAGAGAACCATTTTAACTCCCTACAACAGCAACACACTGCAACCAAAGACGAATCAGACCAACTTAAGCTCCTTGATTCTGTCATCATCTCATCACATGATTTTCCCCATGAAACTGACAGAGAAGACTGTACTGCCATCGTGATCCAGGAATTGCGTACTAAGTTGAATTATTCAATCGAAGCAAGAGACATTAAGTCAGCTTATAGAGTGGGTACCAAATCATCTGGTACAAACAGAAAGATACGGGTGAAGTTAGATAGCTGCTCCCGCAAGTCAGACCTTATCACTACTGCAGTCGCTAGGAAATCCAATGTTTATGTGAACGAATGTCTTACCAGATTCAGACAAAATCTCTTATTTAAACTACGTGGAATTTGCAATAGATCCACTGCTATTAAACATTGTTTTGTGCGCGATGGTAAAATAATAGCTAGGAAGACTGACTCTGGAAAAACTTATGTCATAACCACTGAAGCACACCTCACTTCCTTCCTGGATGACTGTGGGATATCAGCTGAATAACCAGAACATAATTTGTAGTCTCACATACAACCAAAGTGTACTTAAGCTCTGCCTTTCCTTTCCAAAGGTGTTTATTTTTATTTTTATTTTATTTTTTTTTTCGTTTGTCATCTTTGCCTGTTTTATACTCTGAATTATTTGTTCTTAGTTAATCCCCTTGTCACTAAACCTAGGGTTTTTTATTACCCTGTTAATTAACCATTACTAAGCTAATTATCTTCAAGATCATTTTTTTTTTTTTATTATTATTTTTCTTATTATTTTTTATTTTACATTTATATTGTCAGTCTCTACTGATTTTTTGTTTTTTATTTTATGTAACTTCTGTGTCCTCCC